GACAGAATCATAAACCCTCTTCTCACCCCCTCAGCCCCTACCCCCACCCAACAACGTCAAGCTGAGCTTAGCGGAACGGGTTAAAACTGCCTTCAATGCTGATGCAGCAATGTGGTTAAATTAGCATGGAGGACTTTCCATGTGATAATGCTTTGGCTCAGCGGCCATTCGTACGCCAGAGCTCTCCGCTTGGACGGCTTCTTTCTCCTTTCCTTGTTTTCACAAGTGGTGACAGACAAGCCTTGAAGGTCCAGCTCGCAACGACACCACAGATCCATATGCCAAGAGAAGCTGCCCTGGGGGCTGCAGACCCCACCCCCCTACCCAGCAGCAACCAATCAGATCTGAGGGCGGAGGCAGAAGGTTTGGGCAAGCGCAACGACAAGGCCCTGTAGAGAAGTCACAGTCAACGAAATGTCTTTTTGAAAGTCGGTTTTGCCACAGATGAATCAATCAAAAGTAATTTAGGAATAATCTTCATAGTGTTATCCAGACTCCCCACATATGAGATGATTTTAGTTTTTTTGCTGTTCAAAGTAACACTAAGCAAAAGTTTGCAATGTTTGCTTGCAGATGGAACAGCACCCATGTCCTGAATGTAGCCGAGCTCCACCACTAACATTTGCTTTCAAATTGCTGGACAGCTGAGCTGTTATTATGAGCGCAAAACGTAGATTCGAATTTGCGTGCTTTCCTGAAAGCTTCTACTTATTTAAAACACGCTTTCATTCCGTATCACTGAAGAGCCATTTTCATCCTCCCAATAAAAGCCCACAAATACTTTTAAAAAAAAACCAAAATGACGGCAAATTTCAATCAGTTGGCTTTGGTGCCAGTTCTCTTTTCGTCTAGAGTTACAAAGAATGCTGTCTCTCCTGTCGGGAATCAGTTTCCATTTTTGGGGAGGAGGTTCTTTCTTGCTCGAGTGGAAATCTCCCGCAAGCTTGTTGCTAGGTGAGTAATGAGGACGAAAGCGAGGAAGCAGGGCGGCACAAACAGCCACACCGTCCGTGACTGCAGCAGACACCTCGGAGCCTTGTCCATTTCCAGCCTTAAACATCTCCAGACCAAACGGAGTGAGTGATTTTGCTCCTGTTAGCTGGCCTCGGAGAGAAACCCCCGCTAATTACCTCCTGGCTGCACGCCCCCCCCCCCAATCACAGAAACGGCTCTGCAATACTGACCCGGTACGTCTACATCTGACTTGGCGCGGGAGGTCTACGGCACGTCCTTAGTCTCCTCTCCACAGATGCAAGGGTACCGGGCTTCATGCCCTGGCCCAGCCTGAACGGAATGTCCTGGAAAGCATGCATGCCAGGGAGGGCATGAGGGGGGGGGGACAGGGGGCGCCACTGCCCTTCTGCTGAGAGGTGGTTATTCACTGGGCTGAATCTTCCACCTCTATATACACAGGTTTCTGATGCTGAATTAACGAGATGTGAGGGAAGCCCACTTTCACTCCCCACCCCCTCACTTACTCTCACCCCTGGGCAATTTGCAAGGATATCCCCACCCCACCCCACACAAAGCCAGGTGACATCACCACACTTCCCATGTCCTTCAGACCAACCTCTTTCCATGGTACCCAGCTACACATAGAAACATCCCTGTTCTTGTCACAGGCATTGACTGTATATTCCCAGAAACCACATGGATATCTTTATGGCAGGACTGTAGCCCCTGGACCAGAGGGCTCCTTTAAGAGGGCTGAGTAACTATGATGTGCTCTTGCTACCGACTGAACACTGGTGGCTTCTTTTCCAGCTTGTTGTCAGACGATATCCAAGCTGCGGTCGTCCTCTGTCCTGCCCTCATCTACTGTAGCCCTTTACGAGACAGCGGGAATCTTCAACCCAGCTGCCGGGAGGTTTTCTAAGAAAACAAGACGGATGATAAAATTACAGGCACCAGGTCACATGACCGACCGGGCTCGGCTAAGCGATGTTCCATGTAATGTTCCGTGCACCATAATTGGCTGCCATTGAATGAGTACAGGAAGACTTTAAAAATGCAAATTACTAAAAAGCACACAGGGCTGGCTGAAGAGACTTGCATGAAGACCCAGCTGAGGTGACGAAAGTAACAAAACAGGTCCTGGTGCATAATGTTTAAAATTTTACCAATGGACACAATGCAGATGCATGTTACAGAAATGAACGTCATCATTCCACAGCAACATGTGGCCTTCATCTTTCCGTTCGGCTGTTCTTCGCATGATAATGTCTGCTTGCAAGATGACTAAAATCTCCTTAAGTGCTTCCAATAATGGAAATCAAACCTGGTAAGTAAAATGATCAGGGGCAAAAAGAAACATAAATGTCCCTGGATATCGTCAAATATTTTGACAGGTTTCACATTGGCTTGTAATTATTTCCGCAAAGAAAAGCCCAGAGAGGCTTTAAGTGATTTGAGCGTAATTACAAGCTGCTCAAACAATATAACTTCGGTCTGTGGTTATTTATCTTCCTGTTTTGACAGCACACTTGTCTCGGGGACCCTCACCCCACACCATCCACACCAGGTGACGACCCCCCCCCCCCCTTACCATGGTGTCACCCCGGTCATAAGTAACGCAGCCCTTCCTGAATTGACGCACCATAGTGGGGGGTCGTGGGTGCGTAAAAGGCAGTGACTGCAGGCTACGGCGAGATCATGTCCCACACGGCTGGATCGGCTTACACTGTCAACAAATCCAACCAGGGTGGGGGGGGGGTGTCTGAGTTCTGCTCTCCATGCATGGAGCATATGTGCAGGAAACACAGCCCATAATAACCATTTAATTCCTCTCCTGCTTCATTTATTTATTTATTGACGAGTTTAACGAGTTTCTTCTCTGCATCCGTGACTCTTACAGATATAATACTGTCTGAAAAACAGACCACCTGTGTGTGTGTGTGTGTGTGTGTGTGTGTGTTCATGTGTGTGCTGGTGGGGGGCAGGCACGCGGATAGTCCCCTCGTTAACATTCTGCATTCCGCCACGCTGCGGGGGATGGAGAGGTTCTGAAAAATGACGTGGAGCCTCTCATGCACCCCCCCCCCCACACCCCACCCCCCAGAGAGCCTGACATTCTGAAACCCAAGTCTTGATTCATCCCAGCAGCGTTTGCTTTTCTTCTTGCGAGTTTCTTGCAGGTTTTGTTAAATTTGTGACAGCGACTCGAATAAATAACAGGAAGTGTTCCTGCCTCGGCCTCTCTCCTTCAGTGTCAGTGTGAAGAGGCTCGCTGTGAAGCATCCCCTGCTCAGGGCCACGGCACCACGAAAGCTGCTTCCCGGGATAGCAGATCTATGCAGGTTACAGAAATGTGATAGATCTATGCAGGACACAGAAATGTGACAGATTTCTGCTTGTTGCAGTAACGTGACAGATCTATGCAGGTTCCAGAAAAGCAACATATCTTTTCTGGTTACAGTAATGTGACAGATCTATACAGGTTACAGCAATGTGACAGATCCATGCAGGGTTCTGAAATGTGACAGATCTATGCAGGATGAGGTGAAGTGAGAAATCTGCACAAGTTACAATGAGGTGACAGATCAGTGCAGGTTACAGAAATGCAACAGACCTATTCTAGTTACTGTAATATGACAGATCTATGCAGGTTACAGTAATTCTGATGCTGAATGGAGTCAATCAGCTCATGAGACCCCAGAACGCCCAAATGGCTCAAGCTCCACCCCCACGGCTACCGATTCCAACCCACTGAAGAAACAATATCTTAATATCCACTGAAGCACCATTTCAGTCTTTTATGTGTTGTGATTTTTTTTGTGATAAATGAATTAGTACCTGAGAAGGATGACTGCTGAATCAACAGTCAAATCGGTAGCGGGTGGAAACAAGAGCTCAGAGCTCAGAGAACTGGGATGTGAGGGTTTTATGTTGACAAGAAACACAAAATCCAGGATCCCAACTCCAGGATCAGAGAGTCCAGCTATGGTACCCTGGAGAAAGCTGTCTTACCCTCTACAGCCACTAAGCAGTACTATGTTTTTACAGGTAATAATTTCATTTTTCAAATCTTTAAAACAGATTCTCGATTCACCTACAAAGTACCTGCTATCAAAAACGACTCAAGACAATTTGGAGACAAAAGGCTAAAACTTAGAGCGTAATAGGAAAACCATTCATCACGACAGGATGATTAAATAAATAATAGAATAAGGATACGAAATTACATTCCCCGACCGGCGGGTTTTTCACGGATATATTATTTCTCATGTGGGAATTACCTTACGTTACATTACAGGACACCCTCAACAAAGAAAGCACGGTCCTTTCAAGCCATGGATGGAAGGACGGGTGAAATTACATTCGTTACACTGAGCAGAATGTGGGAAATGACCACCTCGTAAAGGAAAGGGCTCGCAGCCGGCATGTGACTGAGGTACAAAATCCAGGGGTTCCTTTCCCTGCCACAGGACGGTGAAGGGAATTAATCCTGACTCATATACATTTCCTCATGTACTGTGTCACTCCGTGTGTGTGTGTGTGCATGTGTGCGCTGATCCGGGCCCCACACAAGACAAGGGGGCCATGACAGAAGTGAAATGACCACTGCGACTCGTCACTGGAACTTTTCCGAGTCGCATGCGGCACAGAAAGCCCATTGGTCGCACCCCGAAAGAGTTTCGGGGAGAGTTGCCAGGGCGATAAATGACACCTTTTGATCCCATTACTCAAACTAATGGTGTGGCCGCTTCCATCGAGGAGCCCTGCAGCTGCTGAAGGCATACGGCCATCAGGGAAGGGAGGGAGGAAGACGTTAACCGGTCACGGGACACTAACAACAAATGAGGCACCAAAGGACCAGGGGCGTTTGAGACACCGTCGGTCATCAAGGAGAGGAAGTTGTGCTGCCAGAGACCACGCATGGTATGGCACCGTTCCCTACGAGTCTACGGGCGTCTGAGATATGAACAGTTGGCTGCAACCAGTCTAGATGAAAAGTGTACCCCCCGAGACAGAAAGGACAGGAAGGACCCCCACAGCCTCACCTCTGCAGATCGTCTTGTTCTCGGATGCCTCGTGACCAGCCTTGCAAATGCAGCGCCCGATAGGGACCATCCACTCCCCATCGCCATTGCAGTACAGCTTTATGGGGACATCCACCTCCTCACTATTGGGGATACACACGCCCCACGCCACCACCAACGAAGTGCTCTCTGCCCCGGTCAGGGTCTCCTGGAAGATGGCGCCGTTCTGGATGACGCGGGGGCACTTGCGGTAGAAGACGCGCACGGCGATAAGCGACATGCAGCCGCCGTAGTCCTGGAAGGCCAGGTAGAATCCTTGGCGGGACAGTTGGCCGAAACTGCGCACCTCCGTGTTGATCTTCATCACACGACCGCCCAGATCCACCTGCGAGAAGCTCTCATCGGCCGCGATGGTGTCCACCTTGATCCAGGGGTTCTCCATCCAAGGGGGGAAGGTCTTGGTTGCCGTGTCTGAGTCGGACTCATAGTAGTAGAGGTTGAAGGTCTCCTTGCAGGATCCCGGCACGTTGGGGATGCTGCTGCAGTCGCGCACGGAGAATTTCATCTCCACGTGGATGCGGAGCGCGCCGCGCCGCCGGATGTACTTTGTGCGCACCCAGTTGTTCTGGTTGCTGCTGAAGACGTTGCACACCTGGTAGGTGCGGATGGTGTTCATGTTCTCGTCATAGCCACTCACCTCCTCCCACTGCAGGGGCAAAGACACAAGCCTTCAGAAATGCACACACTCATCGGCGGGTGACCTCTGACCCGTTTCTCCTCAACCTGCTTCGTTAGATACAAAATAAGTTCATATGTCATATGGTTAAAACATAGAATCAAAATCCTGAGTCACATAAATAAATGCAATTAATTTATAAAAGCTGAAGGAACAGAGGTCCAGTTGGGTAGATATAAGTATATAAAACTAGTCTCAGGAAGTCCCTGGGTGGTCAGTCGGGAGACAGCTCAGCTGCTGTGCCGGTCAACCAAATAATCTGCCAATTTAAAAATTCTGTAGCAGCACTTCGGAATGCTAACTAGTGAGTTTCCTCTTGCACATGCACATGCACATGCAATAAACCGCGACTGCTCTGCATAGAGAAACACACAAAAAAGTGGCACGTGTGTCAGCGTGATCGCGTGTCATTTCGAACTGATTGATCGCAGCGTGCGGTCGCAGTGGAATCACAGGTAACCGCTCGCTATTGCTAATCACGGGAGGTTCCTCAAACGATGGATGTTAGAAAGAGACCAGGCGAGGCGGAAACAGTCAGACTGCTTCACCAGTTCAATATGCTATTTATTATTTATTTTCTTCTTGAAATGTCCTTAGTAAAGTTATCGGGATGATAACACTTGAAGTGTGGCATCATTCATCAAAGTTCGCAAGAACAAAGACAAAAGGTCTTCAGCATGAAAATCCTGGACTGAAAATGAGTCCCACTCGGTTCCTGGTCTCAGGTGGCAGGAACCTCAGCCCCTTCACACCCCCAGCACACCTTCGGCCGCCCCTGCGTTCTGCTCCCTGTCCATCACCTGGCCTTTCAGGCATCGGTCAGCTGCTAATTAAAAAGAAACGCCTGAAACCTTGAGGACGGAGATCCCCCCCCCAAGCACAGTGCAGGAACCTCACCACCTCCCGCTCCCGCGTGTTTCAGTAGTGTCTGGAAGCGTCCTCCGTCTCGGTCGGCGCTGTGCTGGCATCTGCAGTGTGTCGGCAGAGCCAACTTGGCTTCAATTGCATTCCCTCCACACCAAAAGATCATACGTTCTGTTTTCACAACCCGTCAAAGGTCTCTAAGGCCGGCTGGGATGATCGTCACATCGTCACCCCTCAGTTCCAAGGTTCGCAAAACCACTCGGGGAACAGTCACACTCAACCTGCTTGTTCATGCCAACCACTTAAAAAAACTCATGCTAATGAACAATCGATCACCATCTAAGTGCCACAGGATCTACATGCCTATTATGGGGTATCTTCTGAAGAACCATAAAAAAAATAAAAAGTCATACTGAATGGTAATACTTGCACATACCATCAAAACACTGCATCTAACTAATTTGCACATTTTCCTTGTCTACTTAGGTTTAGAGTCTATATTTTCATCTTGTCTACTTAGGTTAATGTTTAGAGTTTATATTTTTATAGTGTATTTTCTGGTATTTATACTGTATATGCAAATTCTACGTGCCTTTTGTTCTGTCTCTCTCTATACTTGTATATAGTGGAGATGACAATAAAGTTCACTTAGACTTAGACTAAATTTACTTTAGCCGGCTTAGTCACCTCAAATGGAAGTACATACAGCAACAAAGTACTCCCTTAAAATAACTGATATTAGTTGCATCTGGAGCCACTCTGTTCCTTTAATGAATATCTGGGCTCCTGGGCCTTTTTGTATTATAAATACACCTTCAACAAAGACCAATCGACGCATTAACATAATTCAGAAGCATAAGGATGAATTGGGATCATGACTGAACCTACTTGACAACACGATCAAGTTCAGTAATTACCGCTGATTAATGCAAGGAGCCGTATGCTCAGAGTCCTAAGTGGCTCGCTGGAGGATTGTGGCATTCGGGAACCCAGCCAAGCCCCCACCCAGGCCTGGATTACATCCTGTAAACTTCTTAATCTGTCTTATAATTAAAGCGATCATGGCTTGCTGGAGTTAAGATTAAAGGGTCAAATCAATATCAGGAGTCGGAAAGGTTTGCAACTGATATTGTTGTATTTAAAAATGAAATGAGAGCCTCGCTTCAGTGTTTTATTACACACATGATAAATATTCATCTGCCGTAGCGTATTTCTGCAGTCAAAAAGGAAGTAGGGTGTAGTCCAAAATAAAACAAAAAAACACGAAACAATCAGTTGCTCCACTTCTGCATCACTGTGAGAGATCAGGCAGGTGTTCTGGAACATTCCAGGGCCCAGGCTAACCCAATGCTCCTCACTGGTGAGAATCGGAAATTCTGACGTGAGACTTCTACAGCCTCGCTAACCCCTCTGCCCAGGGGCACCAGCCCTGTCCATTTACCAAGGCCACCCCCCAAACAAGGCTTCACTCCTCACTTCACAGCTGATATAATTCCCCAAATTAGTGGTTTCTTAATGAGGATTTAGATGGGGAAAGGGCTCAAGTCCCCCTCCGAGTTTAAGACCCCGTCTCTCTCATTTTTTCTCATTCCATTCATGCTGCCGGCCCCCCGCACTCACCGCACGGCTACCAGGCTCGTTAAACGCTAAACGCTTTGCTTCCTGTCACTACGGCTGCGGATGACACGCAGCGTGACAAAAACAAATAAATGCCGTGTGGATCTCCCTCACGGCGGAGGGGTGGGGCACCCGCGCAAATATTTAACGAATGATGAAGCAGCGCTGAGATTTGTAGGTAAACAGCCATTAAAGACTTCACAAACATTTAAGATAAATCACGCTTTGCATCCTGGCAGAAAGCCAGGGAGTGACAGATGTGGCGGCCGTTGATAAACTGGCCCACAGAAATCGACAAGAACTGGCTCTGCGCTGGGCGGCCATGCCCATCGATACCGACCTCTGTCACCTCTCCCCCAGAATCAGAGCAGGGGGTGGGACAGTCAGTGAGGGCCCTTCCATTTCCCACCACCTCGACAGGGGTTTAGAAACTAAGTTTTACCATGAAATAATTCCCCCTCCTGATCCTGTCATGGAGGGAACCCAATGGAGCGTGATGAGGAGGCCAGCGATCAAACAGCGAGTGTGAAATTAGGAAAAGAGTCTTCATTTTCACAGTTTTTTTCCCCCCGCGTCAGATCAGCTTTGGTACAGTCATGTGCTTTAAGGTATGAAGGAGGTGGTTGGTTGGACTAAGGGAATTAAGGTCTTTGGGGTGAAAATGGAAATAGAAACGTTTCACCCTTTCTTGGCCCAGCAATCTATTTAATTTTCCCCCAACCACTCTAGAGTGTTTGCTAAACAAAGAAGAAATTATGTAGCTATGTGACAGAAATGCCACAGCCAGGCGTCAGCCGAACTCGCGTCCGTACCAGGCGTCAGTTCTTGTTTTGACCTGCGCTGTCATATTTCCCCGTTCGCTGTATTATTGTTAGCCACCGAAATGCAGAAAATGTCTGAGTGTCGTTGCTAATCAAAGGGCTGTTTCACATGACATCACCCACCGACACCGATGGGTCTGGAGAGAGGCCGCCACCAATTACTGCTCCTTGTTTGGTTAAGGAGCGAAGACTAGCTAGCATAGAGGGGGCGGGGTCACACACCTGGGATTGGCCAATACCACGCGACGCCACCTTTTTTGAGGGGGTTCAGGGAATGTCAGAAAGGCCAAAATGGAGACCTTCAACGCGGGACTAGGCTCACGCCGCAACCGGGAAAGTCTGGGCTGAGGGTCTGTCCAGGTGTCAGTTAGAATTGCCGTGCCTCTGCTGAGTCAGACCACTGCTGGCTTATTTAATAGCAGCCGCGTGCTAATAGCGCGATACATTTTCACTCACATTAGCTGTAATGATATAATGTGACGTACGGAATACGGTAAGATTAGATCTCACTATGTAAGAAGGGTAATTACTATTACTATGGTCTAAGAAATGCTTTCCTTCCCGAAACAGCTCCAAGACCTTGTGTAACGACAGACTGAGGGTGGGGTTGAGGAGGGGGGGCAGATAAGACCCACAGGAGCCGTGAGCTTCTCCCGCAAAGTCAAACTCCCGCCGCTCAAGCAGCGGCTCGCTGATCTGTGATGCTCCTTCTACGAAAATCCCGAAAATCGGTTTTGTGACACCCAACATTCAGACACCCGCTTTTTGGTGAGACCCCTCCTCAAGACGTGTATTCACGCCCCCACCTGGGTGTGATGAAGTCGGGGTGAGGCGTATCACACGCATCCTTCGGACGGTTCTGCTGATCTGCGGACAGAGGGTCCCGGCAGCGCGATAGCTATGGAAACTTCCAGATGACCACTCAGAAGGGAGCAGAAAGCATATATAGGATTGACAGAACCCCCCCCCCCATGCACCCTGGTGAGTAAATAATTCAGAGCTGAAAGGATGCAGCTTTAGCAATAATGCAACGGGGAGAAACCTGTCAAGTGTAACAACGTTTGATTGGTGGGGTGAGAGGAAAAGAACAGCCATACAGAAGCTGGGCTCCTGTGGGGGAGTCATGAGACGTGTCTGTCTCTCTGTCTGCCTATGTTATGTATACATTACATCATGGGGACCAAATGTCCCCACAATGTGATAAAAACCTGCTATTTTGACCTTGTGAGGACCATTTTTTTGGTCCCCACAAGGGGAAACTCAATTTTAGAGAAATCTCTGACAGCAATCAAAAAACTAAAAAATGCCAAAAGACATTTTGTTTGGCTACATATGGTTAAGGTTAGGGCCTTAACCAAATCAATCACCTGACTCAAATCACCTGATCTGGTATTTAAACCCTTACACTGCAGAATAACAACATTTTAAATAGCATGCTTTTGATGAAATTTTACCTATTTAATTGAAGCATATGTGACTGTCAGACTTACTTCAATAAGCAATTATTTGTCAAGCAACACTAAACTAAACTAATCTAACACACATATTAGTCTCCAAACTAAATTTTCACATGCATTCCTCAACTGAAACAATTTCTGGTTTAGCATATCCAGAAATGATATTATAATACAGGCAGGACTGCTCAGCTGGGATCATCGGGACGAGGTGTGAGTGTACGCGGCAGTATGGGTTGTGTGTCATGCAGTGCGCTCAGTGACACTGGGAATCCCCAGCTCACGTACACACACACACACACACACAGACACACACACACAGAGCGAACACCTCCACAAAGCCGCCTCAGTACTGAACACGGCACGGCGCGAGACGCCCCCGCCGGTAGCCAGACGCGCCCGTTTCGGGGGCCATCTGTTTTTGCGCAGCTTTCGCTTGATAGTGTCCGGGGGATTCCCCCGTCTGATGTCAGGCTTGGACAGATTTTGTGGGGGGGGGTTGGGTTCAGTAGAACCGTGTCATCAGCGCCATCTGGCAAACGCGACTGACGGAGGTGTGGAGACACACGTCCCGCCAATAGGTGCCTCTGCATGGACAGGGTGGGAGGGGGGGGGCTTGCTCGTAACGGCCGTTAATGCCTATCTGGGACGGCCCAGTGAACTGCCACTTGCACCCATTCCAGTGCTATGATTCGCTGAGCTGCACAGGAGCTCAGAGAGCGCGAATGCAGATGTGCTGGACCCAAAACACAAGACGTCCCCCCTCAGAGCCGCTGAGAAGCCTTAGAGCTTAGCTGCTGCTAGCTGTTTGGGGGTCTCTATGAAAATGAGGAAGGGGGGCGTGCTGTTGCCCCTCCCTCCGCACCCATAGGCAGATTGCTCTGTCCAACCAATTTGCCTTCAGCGACAGCAGGAAAAAAGCTTTGATTTCCTATTTTAATTTTAGTCTGAAGATCACCATCATAAACTTTTAGCAATACAGAAAAATACATTCTTACCCAGCCAAAGGACGCTTTGCGAGGACGATCTCGTTGATGGAGAAATCTCCGCCTCTGCCTGCTGCTAATTGCTGACATGTCATAACGAATGATTAACGCCGCGCGCCGTCGTGTACCTGGGACCCCCGAGCTCCTCTGCCGTGCCGAGAACACGCCGCGGGCCGTCAGACCGGCCAGACCCCAAGGGGGCCATCCATTACGGGGGGGGGTTAGCACCCCGGCGAGGCTGCTGACAGGCTCTTGCCTCGGCGCAGCGGCGGTAATGATTTTCACACGTGCGCCGCCCCCATGTCGCCGGCCCCCCCACGCTTCCTCTCTGGGATTCACCGTGCCTCAGAGCTGTCAGGGCGCCCAGGGAAGAGGGATCGCCACACTGAGACTGGGAGAGCAGGAAGCATAGGTTGGGCACTTCTGGCAGTGACAGGAAGTCTGTACAGCTCAATGCATGTATGTCGGTACAGATTCATCTTGTTTCTGTCTGAGCCTGTTAGTGTATCGGGATGCACAGGATTGCTGGCGTGACTTTCAGCACGTGTGGCTACCGGCTCGTTTGCACGAGTGTGCAGTGTGAATTCCCTGTTCGGAATCTTAATAATCTTCATGTTTTCCACCAGGGCTGGATCCTGGATAAGCTGCTTAAAAAAACACAGCAGTGAATGATTGCGCGTGAATATAAATATGTTAATTTAAAAATTGTTTTATATTTAAATTTAGGGGGAAAGATAAATCATCTGTCCTGCTGAGATCATGGTATTTGCCGTTTCGCAGCCTGGCTTTTATCGGAGGCAACTGACCCATTTATGAGCTGGGATATTTTCACCGGAACATTTCAGAAGGTTAAGTGCATTTCTCAAGGGTACGGCAATCAGTCCCTCACGGGACATAAAACTACAGTTTAAGCTAGAAATCCACATCCTTAACTGCCACACCATCTACTGCCCGAGATATGAAAATACAAGCTCATTTTATAATAGCTCATTTTGGATTAATATTACGTCTGCATGTTGAAAACAGGGAAAGCCGGTTTTCCTTGCGGTGCCCCAAGAAACAACAAGGGGCACCATCTGAGGGCACCATTTACCCCCAGGCAGAGACTGATATAATATACAAAAGTTTTTGTTTAATGGTTCTTTTACTCTGGGCAGAAAGTTTTGTGCCACACAGCTCTAAAATCTAATGGGGCTCTTGAAAGTTTTCTATGAGGGGTAAAGATGAGGAGATGAGTGATGCAGAATGGCTGCAAGGTCCTGTGAGAAAGGAAGGACTGAGGCTCCAGCAGGAAGGAGAGTCAGCAGCCCAAGGCTCTCTGCTGTCACTGCCACGGTCCAGGCAGCGGGGAAGAGGCCGTCTGCCTGCCCTCAGGTTTGAGGAAACGGCACTGATGGTGAATTCAGTCTATTAGCATTAAGAAAAAATAAGAAAAAAAACTTTGTAGTTCCACAAAAGAACTGTTGAGAAAGTGTTGTCTTTTTTTCCTGTCTGTCTGTTTCTGCTTTTTTTTTGACAGAAGGCAGTGTATAATTTAAACCAGCCCAAATCCATTCCACAGAAGCATAAATAATTAAATAAAATGGAGCGCATTTTGTTTGTTTGTTTTTATTTTAGGGTGCACCGGCAAATTATAGTACGTTTTTTTTCTCTCTACTGAAGCTTGTTTTGAAGATGCCAGATCGTGTGCAGAGAGAAGGGAAGGAGGGGCCTCGACCCGCTGTCAAGGAACAATCTTACCTGCTGCCCCATGTTGGTTTCTAAAGGCAGGTTCATAAAGAGGTGTGGTTTTTTAGGCCAGAAAAAATATACGTAGCACCTGTCTGGCACCAAGGGCAACTATAGGAATTTTTGATGCAGGCGGGTATAATAGGGACCATAATTCATGTGCGAGTGTCAACCTTATCATTAACCAATGATATGCTTTGAAACAGTGAGTGACAGGGGCAGGGGCACTCCACGGGCCAATCAGCTTTCAGCTGGAGCCAGCGGACCCACCGCTGTACACGCCCCTGACTGGCACTCAAAAGAATTACCTAACTGCAAAGAAGTCAGAGTACGGTTAAATATTTAGTCTAAAGACAGGAGTCACAAGCTGTGGATCACTAGAGAAAAATAACCTAATCTTATTCTGGGCTGTGCTCTTTATGTTTGCATACGATCAGTTCCTGGCCAGGCTCTGGAGATAGACGTATTAGGTTAATTAGGTGAATTAGGTTCTCTGGGTTGCCCACAGCACGTTTCCAGTGCCTTCTGGAATAGGCTCCATGATCATTGCAACCCTGTATTGAATCAGTGGTTTCTGAGAATGGATGGATGGATGGATGGATCCTGCCTGTCTGCCCCACCCCCTAGAAAAATAGTAGCATCAGTGTGTATGCAAAAGCCACCAGAAAATAGTGACATTTGGTTGAAAACCACCAGCATGCTCCTCACAGCTCCTTAAAATTAGATTAGAACAACCGACTGGAGGCCCTCAGAGATACAAACACGCAGATTAGAAGCTCCGGGTGCCGCAGACTTGCAGACGTGGCCTCGTTCCCTCAGATCCCCCGGTCGTCCTCCAAAAGTCTGCGAGGCTCGGCGACCTTCGACCCAGACCGCATCACTTCTGGGCCCGCCAGGGGACTGTGGCCAAACCACGGCCTTAAAAAACCGCTGACGGAGGTGCAGCCCCATTTGCCACCCTGGGCGGGAGAAGGCTGTACGCACTTTGGGACACTGTGACGCGTTTCATCCATATTTTTTTGGTTTAAGAGCAGAGAAATAAAACAGAACAAAAAACTGAAAACAGAACAGAGAATAAAAGACAAATATGGGGCAACGAGCAGTTCTATGAACTTAAAAAGCAGAAAACACGTACTTAGCAAATTCAATAACGCCGTAAATCGTTCCATATGAAGTGCTAAAAAAAAGACATGAAACAAAAATGTGTAAGGGGGAAAAAAATGAAAATACTTACACTGTTGTCACTCACCCCGGAGACGGGGTACACCGTCCAGCCCAGCTCAGCTGTGGCCGTGGTGGAATCCATCAGCGTCTCTGTGGGGGGGTAGAATTTACAGTTAGCCTGCTGATCTATCACAGAATGAAAATGGGTCAGCCCCAGTCCGTCCCCAACCGTCACAATCGTATGTTTAAACATGGCAGTGAAACTGGAACTTCAGGCCTCTCCCTGAGAGAGCAAACCAGGCGAAGGCAACATGTCTGAGCATTGAAAACCCGGTAAGAGCGGCTGTTAGAGACTGCCAACATCAAACAGGTCCAGTAGATGCACCCTGACCTCTGACCCCTGAGCAGTCTACTCAGAGAGGGGCTCATCAATTCTGCTGGCCCTAAGATATTATTGGTGCATTCGATTATCTCTCCGAAGTCGTAAATTCTGAGGTGCGTGATGTCACGTCTGACCAGTCTCCCGTTCGAGCTACACATCTCGGAACAAACATGGCTGCCTCCATGAAAACGCTGCTGTGTGTTGTTGCTTTATATTTTAGCAGATTTGGAGTGAGATTCTTTTTTCCAAGAAACAAACAAGAAACATGAAATAGTCAAACCATTTTAAAATCTTTATAATATTTTAGTAGATTCATAGTGATATTCTTTTTTCAAGAGGCAAACAAACTACAAACAAACAAAAACAAAAGAAATACAAAAATATGATATTGCATGCTAGGATACTGTTGATAATATGGTATTCTCTTAATTGAACACGTGCAATTGCATTTATAACTATTAATACATTTAACAAAATATACATTTTTAAATATTTATAAAATAGATTTACTGTTGACTGTGTAAGCGGCCATATTGAAATGACGTCATAGGGGAATCTCGGACAACAAAATACTCTCTGACATGGACGTCGGAAAGGAGGCGTGTTTAGGACAGGAAGTGACGTTTTTCATAATGTTTTTATCTGAGTTCCGACTTGGAGAGAGATAATCGATCTGACTTTTCACCCCCGAGTTCCCCCCCTCGGTATGGGTTTCTAAAACCCCCACCTGACAATGTGTAGGCCATGATCAGTGCTTTACACTCACAGGTAATTAATTGCTCGTGCTCAAGAAGTGGGAAAGATATTTTAAATTCTGTGGACAACAGACTACATTCCTGCCTTCCCTTCTTCCCTACAACAAATGACAAACGTGGACATTTCCGGTCCAGAAAGTAAAAATCCAGACCACGATTTTGTTTCATAAGAACATAAGAACATAAGAAATTTACAAACGAGAGGAGGCCATTCGGCCCATCGAGCTCGCTTGGGGAGAACTTAGCTAATAGCTCAAAGTTGTTAAAATCTTATCTAGCTCTGATTTAAAGGAACCCATGGTTTTAGCTTCCACTACACTAGCAGGAAGACTATTCCATACTCTGACTACATGCTGTGTAAAGAAGTGCTTCCTCAAATTTGTTTTAAAATGTTCTCCCGCTAATTTAACCAAGAAGTTGAGTACTCTGTGACTGTGCTCAACTAGTGGGTTGAAACAAAATCTTGGCCTGGATTTTTACACCCCAATTTCATTAATATGGACATAATTACATTTTTTTGGAATAGGCCATGGAAATAAAAAAAAGCCCATAAAATAAACAAACAAGCAGAAACTGAATGACCCCTCTTGATTTGAGTTTGTGTTCTGAGTCAGGTTTTTACAGAAACCTTTGCCTCCCGGTTCCTGGGAGCGACCTCTACTGGCTGAGGTTCTCTGCTGACAGTGAGTGCACCCATCCCAAACGCCGCCAGAACGTTCCCCGCACCCGTGGGCCCTCACAGAGCCAAGCAGGAGACAATGGGGGCCACACTGCTCCAGTAGGGGGGCCTCGCCAAGTGCGTAGCCCTCAAACCTGAGGACAAGTGAAAGACAAGAGTCCCGTGTTTGGACTGGAACCAGCAAAGCGGACGGGAGGAGGGGGGATGTAAGTGGAAGAGCAAGCGGCCGCGTTAAGCCAGCGGCCCCCCCGCCACGCCAGGGCCCCCCCTGGTGCCACTCCCAACCGTCTTTTCTCCAGAAAGAGCCGCTGCTTCCTTTTGTTGTTTTCTTTCCTCGGCACCTTCTCAACCCCCCCCCCCCTTTTGCGCCCCCACTGCCGAGCAGCGTTTGGAATTCATCCCTAAGGAGGGTAAGCATTAAACGTACGGGGCTTCCTAAGATTACTCAACAAGAAGCACGTGGAGCTTTTTCCGCCGTGACCGTCCAGGATTTATAAGTGCTCCCCACTTCGAACTCATTACCACGGCCCCCAGGCGGCCACATTTGGGAAAAATACGCACGGTGCTTATAATGTATGCAATGTTATTCCATCACCCCCCACCCCCCATGATTCACAGCCCGTAAGCCGAGGTAACAAGCAGCTTTGTTTACGTATAAATAGGTACCCTATATTCTTTCTAAGCTGGAGACATCACATGGGAATAGCAAATAGCAGCAGAAGTGATGGGGGTGCCCCGTTATGCGCCCCCCCCCCGGGTCCACGCCGTGCTTGTTTGCGCTTCAAGTTCGGTGGGCTGATACGAAACACATTTCTGTCTCTTTGCCTGCCATGTACACACAGGTCCAATGTCGCCACACTAGCCGGGAAACATTAACGCTACAGGCTGGGTCCTCGTGTCAACCATTTCAGTCCCCCCCTCCCCCCAGATCCTTGGGGAGCCGTATCTCAGTTTAGAGAGGAAGAGGTTACCTGGCCGGGACGCGTAACCCACATGGGCGGAGCACCAGAACTCCCCCACCCCCAGTAACAGCCAAAACGCACAGCATCTGAATGTCATGGAGCTCAACAAACAGCACAATAAAAGTTACATAAATAACAGAGGAGCAAACGCTGGGGGAGGGAGGGGGGATGGAGCTCTGTGGAGGAGCAAGAGCAGCTAGGCTGAGCTTCCAGGGAATGCCCAGGTACAGGTGTAAGAGGTACTGAAGCAAGAGCTACACAACATCTTCCAACAGGGGTGTGAAGGTGTATGAATAACAATCACACCTACAAGAAGTGTGCTGAGCTACTGTGTTCGCCGAAGTAAGGATCTGGGAGTTCCCAAGGTAATCTCTGGGATTCTGTTTTTAGCCAGTGTGCAGAGAAGGCCTGCCTACGGTCGCCGCGACGATGGAGGCAGACGGCGCTCCGGAAATCAGGTAGGGCCTTTGTGCTGGCCGTTTCCCAGGGAGACGGCGGACATAAGCATCGTCCGTCAGGTTTCTGCAGGGACCGGCAGACGGGTCCCATTCATCTGCTTGTTCATTCCGGGCTCGAGACGGAGAGCGGAGCGGGGGAGGGGAGAATGGGCGGATCAGTGGGGCGCTGGGCAAATTACTACATCACAGGGCCGGCAAGGAGGAAAACCTACAGAATTAGGGTTTTTAAAAAGGCAATCTGTCAACTGCTACATCTGTAGAAGAAGAGGTGTCCTGTCGGCTTGTGTAGCTGATGCCACACTTTAGACCGCAGATTTACAAGCTATTAACAAAAACTGATATTTTTTACCCTTACTTGGAAGCAAGATGGTTTCCCTCTCAGTTATTTGCTATTCCTGGTAATAAATACTCCTGTCATTAAGTGGGTAGAAGTACTAATCCTATTCCCAAAATCCTAAATCCTGTCTCCCAACCCCACAGTACTGATTTTGGGTTAGACTGCAGCGTTCCGTCTGCCTCTGACTGTCCATCCCGTACGCGACCTCACACAGAGCAGGACTCCGTCCTCTCCTCTCCCGGAAAGAGGAGGCCAATGAAGGACAAATGCGATGGCCGCTTCCCCAAACAGCAGCCAGCTCTCTGATTTATATTCCTGTGCGAACCGCTAACTTTTAATTAAGAGGGCTTTACATGTGCCCCCACTTATTTTTAGGGACGAGCAATATCTCCAAGACATGCAGTTCTAGGCAGGCGTAATAGCGGGCTCTACCTCATCTCTCCCCCCCATTTATCATAAAGCCCTAATCTTGTAATTAAGCAGGAGAAATTGAATTTGCACAGCCATTGATAATATAATGTGATGTAGCAAAGCTTACAGAAGGAAATGAGAATTATAGCCCATAACGGTAATGAGAACTGGGGACAAAGGCAGTGGTGAAATATACGGCAGCGCCTGGCAGGAGGTGTCCCTGGCGGGAATATGCGACGCACGCCGTCTCCCATAATGCACCACGGTTACCTGCTATCGGCAGTCCAGGGGCAGGCTGGAGTGGCAGTTGACCCAGAAAGATGGATTAGCCTGCCTATCATTCGGCCACAGTAGACGCACCAATTCATTACCACAGCCTTGACATGCTGCCCCCCTCCCCATATACTCCGGAGGA